GGCACAGGATAGAGCAGGGTTTAGGGCTGTTGTACATAGGGTCACTATGAGTCGCAAATGACTCGATGGCACATAACAACAACAACATAGTATATTCAATACTCTTCCCCAACACTATAGCTCAAAGGCATCAGTTCTCCTTCTATCTTCCCTAGTCATTATTCAGCTCTCTGATGCGTAGCAAGTGATTGCAAAGACCATGGCTGTATCATGAACACCTTAGTCTCCAGAGTGACATCATTCTTCTTCATTACTTTAGAAAGGTCTCTAACAGCAGACTCTCCCATTACAATATGTCTTTTAATTTCCTGGCTGCTAGTGCCAAGAGTGGATAGGAGTAGAAGGAGGAATGGTAGTTAGCAGATATGGGCTTGATGAAAAAAAAAATGAAGGTGGAAATAGAATGATGAATTTTGTATTTATAATGATTTATGCATTACAAATACCTTTTTTAAAAGGCATAAACTGTAACTTTACCCACGGATCTCACTTGAAGATCTGCATAGGAATCAGATTGACTACATTTGTGAAAGAAATATTGGAGAAGCTCAATGTTATTGTTGTTGTTATGTGCCCACAACTCATTATCACCCTGTGTACATTAGCTCTGAACCCTGCTCTATGCTGAGTCAGTGTCATCATCTCTGACAGACCTAATCCCATTTCCCCAGTCCCTAAGTCAATCCGTCTCATCCTGGGTCTTTCTTTCCTGTGCTGTCCGTCTACTCTTCCAAGCATGATGTCCCTCTCTAAGGATTGGTCCTTCCTGGCCATGTGCCCATAGTATGTGAGATGGAGCTTCAAAATCCTTGCCTTCAGGGAGCAACTTGGTTTTATTCTCTCAAGGACAGACATTTTTGTGCTCTTGGCAGTCCATGGTATGTTCAATACTTTTCTCTAGCACCACAGCTCAAAGACATTGATCCTTCTTCTATAATCCTTAGTTATTGTCCAGCTCTTGGATGCATAGCAAGTAACTGCAAAGACTATTGCCTGTACCAGGGACACCTTAGTCTTCAGACTGACATCATTGTTCTTCAGTACTATAGAGAGTTCCCTGACAGCAGACTTTCCCAGTGCAATTTGTCTTTGATTTCCTGACTACTGGTGCTAAGACTTGATTGTGGAACCAAGTAAGCTGAAGTTATCACAACCTCAATTTCCTCTCTGTCCATCATGAAGCTGCTACTGACCCAGTGGTGAGAATCTTTGTTTTCTTGATGTTGAGCTTCAATCTATATTGAAGGCTATAGTCCATGATCTTCTGCAGCAAACACCTCATGTCCTCAGTTTCACCAAGTAAAGTTGTTTCACCTGCATAATCCAGGATGTTGATGAGTCTTTCTCCAATCCTGATACCACATTCTTCCTCACAGAGCCCAGCCTCCCGAATGATCTCTTCTGCATATAAATTGAAAGGGCATGGCATTAAGATGTGTCCTTGACACACATCTTTCCTAATCCTGAAGCATGCAGTGTTTCCTTGCTCTGTTCTAACTACTGCTTCCTGATCCAAGTATAGGTTTCACTTGAGCATAGTTATGTTTTCTGGGATTCCCATTCTTCTCAAGGTTAGCCACAATTTGTTGTGATCTACACAGTCAAATACCTCTGCATAGTCAATGAAACACAGATAGACATTTATATAGTACTCTCTTTTTCTGCCAAGATCCATGCTATGATCTTTCTATTGCCATGACCTTTTCTAAACCTAGCCTGCACCTCTGGAAGTTCTCTCCTGATAAACTGTTCCAGTCATTTCTGGCTCAATATAGATAGTAAAAACTAGGCTAGGGACAGATTGTAGGACAGACCCTCAATTACTCATATACAAGTTCAAATTGTGGCTGAAGAAAATGAAATCAAGTCCACAGGAACCCAGATATGAGCTTGAATCAATTCCATCTGAATTTCAAGATCATCTTAGGAATAGGTTTGAGACAATTGTACACCAATGATCAAAAACTGGATGAGTTGTGGGATGATAACAAGGATATCATCCAGGAAGAAAGCAAAAGATTATTACAAAAACAGGAGAGAGAGAAAATGGAAATAGATGTCAGAAGAGACTCTAAAAGTTGCACTGGATAATTGAGAAACCAAAACAAAAGGAAAACATTCCAAAGTAAGAAAGCTGAACAGAAGATTTTAACAGTCAGTTCAGAAGGACAAAGCAAAGTGTTATAATGGAATGTGCAGAGAGCTGGAACTGGAAACTAAAAGGGGAAGAACTCGTTCTGCATTTCTCAAGCTGAGAGAACGGAAAAAAAAAATTAAGCCTCGGGTCACAATGTTGAAAGATGCTATGGGCAATAAATTGAACGATCCAGAAAGCATCAAAAGAAGATGGAGGGAATACACAGAATCACTGTACCGGAAAGAACTGATTGACACTGAAACATTTCAGGAAGTACTCTATGAACAGGAGCCAATGGTAATGAAAAAGGAATTAGAAGCTGAATTGAAGGCATTGGCAAAAAAATAAGACCCCAGGAATTGATGTGATACCAATTGACTTTCACTTAACAGATGCAGCCTTGGATGTATTCACCAGTCTATGCCAGGAAATTTGTAGTACAGATGTCTGGTTAACAGATTGGAAGAGGTTCATATTTGTTCTGATT